CTCGCTTATTATGTGATCATGTATCTTTCCTCCCACCCTACCCGACTGCAATACCTGTACAATCTTTGCAGCCCCTAAGCTAGGGCTGACAGCTTTGTTCGCCTTGCATCAAGCTCACTTACATGTTCTGCGCATCCGTTCGCCGTAACAACTTTAAACACCTTGAAATCAGCTTCCACATCCCGAAAGCCGGTCATTATCGTCATCTGAGACCGCGACATCAGTTTTGATCCTGTTGACTCACTGCCATACAACCGTAGGCTCAAACTATATCTAGCCTTAAAGTGAAACACCAGAAAAGAGCGGATTAGGGTGGCTGTAATAACTGCGTACTCGTCGTACAGTGGTTATAGCTGCCGCAGTTTCGTTCACGGAATAATTTAGACTCTCACGCGGTTTGTTCCTCAGTGAGCTGCAATGCTCCTCATTTCCGTGTCCAAAAGCATGTATCTGCGGCGAACCGTATAAACAGGCCGACCATCATGGCGATAGAGGACCGGGTAACTCAAGCTACACTTGCTGATGCTCGTTATCAGAACTACGCATTTTGAACGCAGGCGACTTTGTCCGGAAATGTGGTTTCAATCGTCTTAAGTGACTTCCTGAGACCAAAGCCCCAGGAAGGCCGTCAAAACGACAAGGCACCATAGAGAGCCCAGTTAACCGTGATACGCCAACTCTTTATTTGTGCCCGTATGCGATATGCAGAACTTTGGAGGGGGTCATCGAAGAACGTCGCCACTACATTAAAGAAGGCCACCGTCAAAACACTTTATTAAGGTTTACACAATTAAGGTGGGGTGGCAATATTGCTGAACTTACAAGGCCATTTCATCTCCAGTGTGGGGAATTCACATGAAAGCGCTGGCACAGACAAAGTTGCTTCTGGTAGTAAATTCTATTGGTCTTCACCGCAGACAGGGCACTGGCTGGCTTGTAGCAAACTGGGAACGGCGGTGATTATGAGTAAAGTTTCAGTCATAGTCGCATCTGACACTCCGCTCACTGCTCAGTCGCATATAGCTTTAACGAGATTTTCGCCGGACCGTATGAAGTAACCATGAGATCCAGCTGCCGTACTCCCGATCCTTCTCATACCAGTCACGCATCCCAGGTCAGTGCAGAACTATAAACGGGATAGCGCACATGACAACTTTTAAGTCATACTCCGACCGATTTGGAACAGAAGCGGTAGGAAGGTGCTTTCAAAAAGGACAGTAGTGAGTATGTCACAAAATATGAACCGTGTGCAATCGAACTGTAGGCATACGTTCAGCCTGTCTTCTCGTCCATGTGGACAGTAAGGCCAAATAATTTCCGACTATCCGACAGAGAATTTGACCCCGACCAGAACCGACGGCGCACAACGGGCACAGAACAACGCCACATTACCCTGCACACCCCAAAGCGGAAGCTCTTGCAAATTCCTTAGTGCATGACGCTGACGCGTTAAAAGAATCGCCCATAATTTGCCTAAAAGATAGGTACTTCAGTGGCACTGCTCATTCAAATCTCTAACGATGTCCTTTTTCAAGTTGCAAGTTACTCCTGAATCAAGATTATCAGATACTTTGGCGGTGCCTAGAGAACGGAGTTATCCCTTCCAA